ATTAAAATTAAGATTAGATCAAAAAATATAGATTTTAAGAGTATAGATTCTTTTTGTTTGCATTATAACATACAAAATTTTAAAATAATTGAAGGTAATATTTCATAAAATATAATTTATTATGCTCAATTTAAAATTAATTTTAATATAATAAATTTATTATATAGAAAATTACTATTGTATAAATGAAAATAATGAAAAATTATTTTGATTATTTAAAATACCTAAAGAAAAGATGAATTTAGTTATGAATGCAAATAATGCAATTTAATAATATTAGACTCATATATATAACAATCTATCTTATACTCCTTCAAAATTTAAGGGATTTAATTATGTATCTTCAAGTATCTTATCAATAACTTTTTTTTGTATAAGCATTTAAAGAACTTTAAATTTTCTTTATTAATAATAAATAACACTAATACTAGCATCACTATTAGAAGCAGTACTAACAATAATAATAGCATTAACAGTACCATTAATAGTATTATCAGTACTAACAGCATTATAAACAGTAGCAATATTATCTTCAGTAATAAGTACTCAGTTATTTATACAACATTTTAAAATTTTTCGTAATAGTAATAAAATAGTTATTAATCTCAAGATTAGATTTGTGAAAATAAAAGAATTAAATATGAAGAAGATTATCTGATTTATTCATGATGTATAATTAATTTTTTATTATTTATTTATTATTATTTTAATATTATTAATTTTAATATATATTTAATTTAATAATTAATAGTTATGTTAACAAAATGCTATATGATATCAATGAATTAGCAGATTATAATGGTATTTTATTATCTATCAATATTTAATAATTTAAATAATCTTTGTTTTTCAAATTAGGTAAATTATTTAATTTAAAAAAATCATTATTTTTAAATAAACTTTATTTTATTTATGCTTATTTTTATTTTATTATATAGGTAAAAAAAAATTGTTTAAGATGTTTAAAATATGTGCAGTAAATTTTAATACTATTTATGGTTATCATATTAATCATAATGATAATAATATAGATTTTATTAGCTTGTATTATTAGGAAATTGAGAAAGAGGTAATATAATATTCCATAACTCAATATAAGAGTAAAATTGAAACCTAAAAATATTTTAGTATTTAGATTAAATTTACTTATATATATTGACCTTTTATGTTTTAGTATTAAGTATTTATTAGTATTTTTTATACATAATAATTTGTTTTCAGAGACCTTTATAAATATAAAAATACAAATTCTTTAAGAATAATAAACAAAAGAAAAAAAAAAGAAAATCAAATGCAATTTAATAATTGAATTTTATTTTTTTAGATTAAAATTTAATTAATTTTTAATTAATTTTTATTTTTTTAAAAAGAATTAAAAATAATAAAATAATTTAAAGTACAACTTAATATTTTTCAATTGTAAAAATTTATGAATGTAGGAAGATTTATATATTTACTAATATTATTATATAATATATTATTATTAATCTTAAATTAAATCATACCTTTAAAAAAGTTCATTATATAAAACTATATTATGCTTACTAAAAATAAATAAATAAATAAATAAATAGTAATAATAAATTTTATTAAATTTTCTCTCTATATAAAATATAAAATTTGTATTTTTATTTTAAAAAAATCTGACATAACGATTTATATCTATAACTTTAATAAATTAAAATTACTAAATTTATTAAAATATAACTACTTATAGTTATCATATTGTAAATCATCAATTTTATGAACATTAACAAACATTCGATTTGTTTTATTATATTTATGTATCAAAATATTCTACTTCACTATATATTTTTTCTTTTATAAGATTTTTACTTGTATTTATAAGATAAGTATTTTTATTAACTGTAATATTGATCTGAAATAAAATAAAATAAATAAATTAATATTTTTTAATAAATCTAATTAAATTAATAAATAAAATCTAATATTTAAAAATACAAAATAATTGTTTCTATTTTTTATTTTTTTTGATATACATTTAGAACTTGATATAATTATCTTTAGTTTTTAACTACTCATATTTTATAGTATTTGAAGAAATATTCTAAATTAATTCAAAAAATAAATTAAATATAAAATCCATAATTAATTATAATCTTTTATTGTAATGTTACCTTAATAGTTCTTATTTTAATATTATATATAGTTGCATATATTAATCAAAATAATCCAAATCAGCTAAAAATTAGATGGCTAATTTTAGGTTGATTTTGATACTATTTATAGCTAATTTGCCATATTTTTCAATTAGCATAAATAGATGCTAATAGATACCGATTGACTCCAATTAAATATGTTCATTCAGTATCAATTCAGAACTTAAATTCAACTATAAATTAGCCTAAAATTAGTTTCAATTCAGCAACAATTCAGATGTTAATAAATACTGATCGATTCTAATCAGACATAACCATTCAGCATCAATTTAGAACTTAAATTCAACCATAAATTAATCTAAAATTGACCTTAATTTAGCATCATTTAACATAAATTTAGAACTTAAACAATTATAAATCAGCCTAAAATTGACCTCAATACAACATCATTTGGTATCAATTCAGAACTTAAATAACCATAAATCAGCCTAAAATCAATCTCAATTCAGTATTATTCAGCATCAATTCAGAACTTAAACAACTATAAATCAGCCTAAAATTAGCCTCAATTTGGTATCAATTCAGTCAATAAGCATATAAAATCAATATATTTTATTTATTAAATTTATTAAATATTAAATTTTATTAATAATAAAAACCTAATATAATTATAAAATATAAAATAAATATTATCAAAACTCACTGATTAATTTTCTATTTAAAATATATAAGTTAAAAATGGAAAAACTATATAAAATAATAAAATATAATCCATTTTTCTCCTAAAATTCTCTTAAATCATCCTAAATATTCATTATCATAATATTGTTATTTTCGAAAAAAAGAATAAATTAATAAAATATGATCTATTTTTCTTTCAAAAATCCTTCAAAAATAATAAATAAAATAATAAAAAATATAAAATCTACCCTTTTTCACTAAATCATTTGAAATTAGAATTTTTTATTATAGAAGTAAAAAAATCAGCTTATTATTTGAAAAGTTGACTGGTTAATTGATATAATTCAACTAAAGTTTTATCTGATTTTGATAATTAGAAGCATATTTCTATTATAAAAAATAAAAAAAATCAGTTTGTTTTTTATATATTTTTGAAAAATTGACTAAAATTCAACTAAAATTTCATTTAATTTGATAGTTGGAAACATCTATTATAAAAAGTAAAAAAATCAGAAAAATTAACTAAAATTTCAACTTAAGTTTCGTCTGATTTGATAGTTAGAGGCATATTTCTATTATAAAAAGTAAAAAAATCAGTTTATTTTTTGTATATTTTTTGAAAAATTGACTAAAATTCAACTTAAAGTCTTTTTGTTTTTGAAATGATTTTTTTTAGGATTTTGATGGAATGTAAAAAGAGAAAATTTGGAAATGATTGTAAAAAGATAAAGTTTGAATTGAAATTATTTTTTAAAAAGTTAAAAAATTAAGCTTATTTATATAAATATTCCTATATATACCAGAAATAAACTCAAATAGTATATTAAATCAATATTAAATATTATATATTTGATATTATTTAGCAAATCAGTTTAATCTAAAAGTTCAGTTTATTGGAATGATAATATGATAATACCATTATTCCTTAGGTATGATAAAACTATTATCTCTAAGCAACGATAAATATATCATTTCTTAGAAACGATAAAATTATCATATCTAAAATACAATAATACCATTATTTCTTAAGAATGATAAAATTATCATCTCTAAGGAACAATAAATACAATATTCCTTAAGAACAATAAAATCATCATACCTAAGGTTTAATAAATGCATCATTTCTTAGGAATGATAAAACTATTATATCTTAAAAATGATAAAACCATCATACTTTAGAAATAATAAAACTATCATACCTTAAAAATAATAAAACTATCATTTTTAAGGAATAATAATATCATTATTCCTTAGCAATGATAAAATTGTCATCTTTAAAGAATGATAAATGTATCATTTCTTAAAAATGATAAAACCATCATACCTTAAAAATGATAATACCATTATTCTTTAGAAATAATCATATCTAAGATATGATAAAACTATCATTTCTTAGAAATAATAAAACCATTGTATATAAGGTATAATAAAACTATTATGATAATATTATCATTTTTTAGAAATGATAAAACTGTCATACTTAAGATATAATAAAACTATCATTTCTTAAGAATGATAAAATAATCGTACCTTAAGAATGATTATACTATCATTTCTTAAGAATGATAAAACTATCATACTTTAGAAATAATAATACCATCATTCTTTAAGAATGATATTATTATTATTTCTTAGAAATAATAAAACTATCATTTCTTAAGAATGATAAAATCATCATATCTAAAGTATAATAATACCATCATTTTTTAAGAATAATAAAACTATCATTTCTAAGATACGATAAAACTATTGTTCTTTATGAATGATAAAATCATCGTATCTAAGGTATAATAAATGTATCGTTCCTTAAGAATGATAAAATTATTATCTTTAAAATATAATAAAACTATCATTCCTTAAGAATGATAAACTATTTTACCTAAGGTACGATAAATGCACCATTCTTAGGCACAATAAAATTATCGTATCTAAGAAATGATAATACTATCATACCTAAGGAATAATATAATCGTTCCAATCAGATGTCAATCAGTTATAATAAAATTGATCAAATTTTTGATGTATACCAATCGGCTATAAGTATGCCAATCGGTTATAAATAAGATAGGTTAAATTTTGACTGATTTTTGACTGATTTTTGATATATGCCAATCAGTTAGGCTGATTTTTGATAATTTGCTGAATTTAAGTTGATTTTAGACTAATTTTTCGCATGTTTGATTTTTTTGATTTTGACCAATGATAAATATCATCAATAAGTTTTTCAAGGTAAAGATCTCTAAAGATTCTGAAAAATCATATAATTAAATAGATCTATAGGAAACCTTTCTTACCTTCGGAGATTCTCTAAAAAAAAAATTTTGTAACCCTTAAGGATATTAAAGAATCCTTAAAGATATGTGAATTTATAAATTTTTTTATTAACATTTAATTTACTTTTTGCTGTAATTTTAAAATTAATCTACTATAATTTACATTATATAATAATATTAATATTATAATCTGATACAATATATAATATTTGCATTATGTATTATTTCTAATTTACTATATCATATAAAATGATATCACTATTACTATAATCACCATTACTATGATCATCACTTTTAGCATCTTTATTTTCTGAATTATTGATTTTACTTTCGCTATTAGTATCATGAATGTCATAGTAATCTTTAAGTTCTTCCATTATAATAGGCTTAGTGGTATTCATCGAAATTTCTTTAGAATTCAAAAGACAATCCTAAAAAATCATTATAATAATAATAATATAATTATACAAATACATTTTAGTCAATAAATTTATATTATATATATACTAAATAAATATCAAATTATTTTTATAAAATATTATCTCTAATAGAGATTTTTGAATGATTGGAATTTAATACAGCTTCACATACTGTTAAGGTAAAAATAGTGTCTTTTTCAGAAGTCTTCTTTTTACCCAAGCTCTATTTCTTATTGCTTGAATATATAAGAGAATACCATCATCATTAACTTCAAATAAGCACTTAAATGCTTTTTAGTTTCACAGAATTTTTTATATATACTAATAGCTTCTGCTAAAGCAGTTGTATTTATATAAGTCATCCAATCATTATCAAAGATGTTAAACATTACATTATGAACATCTTTGGCTCTATCATAATGATGAGTTTTAATTATATCATTATACTATAAAAAAAAACAATTAAATTTATTATTTATAATTCAACAAATTCAATATAAATTAATTAAATAGTAACTTACTATTGGTTTAATTTGTCCTAAATAAATATGCATCTATTGAGTTTCATATTTCTTAAGGTAACTGGGTTTATCCTATTCTAGTATAGCTTTAAACTCTTTTTGAAATGCAATTTTATCCAGATAGATGCCAAGAATTAGTAACTAAATTTTACATGTTTTTGACGCTAAATTCTAAAAATATATATTAATATAAAATATAATAATTTGGAAAAAAAATTTAATATATAATAATTACATTATTTACATACCTTTCAATATGGATTTTCTAAAATCATTAACTGGTCAACTTTTTCTAATAGCTTATTTAACTTTTCTCGAGTTTCTTTATAAAATACATCTTGCTTGCTTTTGATATTATGAATTACTTGAAATAGTTCTTTTATTTAATCTAAGCAAATTTTAAATCCTTTCAGAAGAAGATAGTTTGATGTTGTATCTACTATAAGAAAAATAAATCTAATTAACTGGTTTTAATTTTCAACATCTTTGTTTACAGAATGGATTAACTTAATAATTACCCACCATTTTACCAGTTTTTTTAAGATCTATGTTATTTTAATTATACTATCTATGCTATTATTTGCGATAAGATTTATTTTAGTAGGATTAGTAAGATTATCTGTTCGTGCTTTATCAGATTTGTCAATAACAATAGGATCAGATTGAGTAAAATTTCTTTTTTGTCACTTGGTAACTTTAAAAGCAAAATAATTATCCCTCTAATTCTCACTAACACATTGATTTTCTAATTTTAAATAGATATTACCTTTAATAGAAGCTAACTTCATAGCAATCTTGTCCGCTTCATTTATTGTTCTCTTGAAAGCCTGAGTTTAAGTTTCTTTTAATGCTTTTCGAGTAGGTGTTACATAATAAATAGAAATTTAATAATTATTTATAATAATTAATTCATTGTTAAATATATTAATTGCTTTTTTGTCTAGTCATAATTTGTTTTAACTATATGTTGGAGAAGTAAGAGAAACTTATGTTTTATTTTTTTTAAAAAAAAATATATTAGAAGAAAACAGAAGTACTATAATTATGCATTGAAAAAACTTGTTAGTATATTTTTTTTTTAAAAAAAAAACTTATAGAAAAACTTTAAAAAAAAGGTTAAAAAAAGGAAATAAAAAAAGTTTAAATAGTATAATATAAAATAGTATATTAAATTAACTTTTATTTTTTTTTATCTTTCGCAAAAAAAAAATTGTTAAATTAATAACTAATTAATATTTTTTTTTATTAAAATTACATTATTACGAAAATAAAAGAATATATAAATGTAATTTATGTGAAAAAGGTTTTTCACAAAAGGCAAGTCTTACACAACATTTTAATTAACTTCATCTATATAATCAATAATCACAAACACTAAATTAGATACAAGACCAGCAAAAACTACAATCTTCAAATGATAACATTTGCAAAGAAAATAGCCATGCTGAAATAAATGAAATTATTAGAATGCATGATTTTTCACCATTAGATAATCCAATTTTATCTTCTTTATCACAAACAACACGTTCTGAAAATGAAATTTTCATAGAGAAGGAAAATGTAATTGACAAAAGTATTATTGAAGATAATGAGCATATTAAAGAAAATAAAATGATTAAAGATGATAAGAGTATAGATGATGATGATGAAAGGATCAAAAGTGATAATAAAAGAGTTGATAGTGATGATAAAAGCGAATTGTAAAAAGATGATAGTAATTATAAAAGTAAAAGTTTTGTTAATGTTATTGAAGATTTTTATAATGAAAGTTTTATTACTACACTTGATGATTTAAATAATTACAAATAAGAAACAATTACATAGCCAATTCAAACATATAAGAAATTTATGATAACATAATGAAGTATTATATTTCAGATGTAGCAGGAGATATAATATTACAAATAATAAAAAAGAATTGTAATAAATCACTGTCTGCTTCTATGTGAAAAGGATGAATATATATGAATATAATGAATATTAAAGGTCTTAATTTAAAAACAAAAGAATTAGTTGAATTTGAAGGAAAAATTTATAAATTACAATATTGTCCTATTATTGATGCAATAAAAGGGCTTACATCTAATCATAAATTATGCAAGAATTTTTTTTAAATTATAAAAAAGAATGGGAAGCTCATAATATAAGTTTAAAAAATATTTTATTTAATTCTATGATATTTAATAAATAACTAGCTAAACAATTGTTTGTACTTGTTAATAAAGATAAAACTTTAATACAAGTATATTTAGAACAAAACACTGTAAAATGGTGATGTGAAAGAAAATCACTTTTTAGTAAAATTCTTGCAGTAATATTATATATAGATAGTACTACACTTGACATATATAGTTGACATTCAGAATACCCCATATTTTTAACACTTAGAAATATCCCTAATTATCTTAGGAATTTGCCTGATGCAAAAGTTTTTATTGGATTTTTATCGCATTTGATTACTTAAGATAAAAAATTGCAAGATTTCAAGAGATTTAGACAGTTTAAACGAAATGTGAAATGATGTACTTTAAAATATTTGCTAAGTTCACTTCTTCAAAAGAAGGTATCTACTTAACAATAAATGGAAAAGTAGAACATTTTATTTCACATATATCTACTATACTTGCCGATATGTTAGAAGTACAAAATATTTGTTATACTTATAAATTATATTATGCAGTATGACCTTATTATAAATATCTTATGCCAAGAGATCAATTTAATAATATGTATATTAATAAAATTTTATTATTTTACAAACACACAAAAATATGCGTGAAGTTGTTTTTTCTAATGAAGTCGCAAACTATTCAATTCATGAACATGATAATTTTTTCTGGAAATTTAGGTAAGATATTGAATATTGAATATTAATTTATGTCTATTTTATTATATTAATTATTTAAATTTTATATAATATATATTTAGGATGATGAATGTTTATGATGCAATAGTTTTAGACCGTATGTATTTACAGAAAATCAGTATATGCTTGACTTTATAAGGGATATGATTATGTATTAATTAGGCAATCAGATTATTACCAAAATGGATAATTGGTTAGCTACTATTACACTATTTAACGGATTAAGAATATTGCATAATGACTTTTAACAAGAAGTAAAATTTATCAGAATAGAAATACGTGATGTTATAAAAATCATTATATTCGTACTAGATGAACTTTATATAAGTGATGATAAAATTAAACACTAAAATGACGATACAGAAAATCTTCCTTTTATTGATTATATAAAATTAATTCAATATTTTATAAAATATGTTAAGATGTATAAAACATCTAGAAAGGAAAAATTTAATGAGGATGAATTGAATGATTTTGAGGCAAGTTATCAGTCATGTAATTTTTATTTTATTAAATTAAACTAATTTTTAATATTATATAATATAGCAAGAAATTATTGATTGGTCAAATAATTTTGTTAAATTATTTAAATCATTTTCACTAAGTGAACTTCACCTACCAAAACTTCATGTATGGTGATATTATTTTATTTAAACTATTCGATACTATGATTTACTTAATGGGTTATCGACTGAGACATATAAAATATTATACAAGGATTGGATCAAAAATCCATATAGAATATCTAATAGAAATAATCCATTTGATTAAATGATCAAAACAGTAAGTATTTTAATAATAATATATTTTTTACTATTTTTAATAATAATTCTAAAGAATTATTTTTTAATTTTTTAGATTTATTGTCAAACAATTCTAACTATTTCAAAAAAGGTGTAAGTTCCAAAATTAGAATCTATGAAGTCATTACTTTAGAAATTGTCAATTAGTAAACTACAAACCCTTTGGAAAAATTTTAAATGTGAAAAAAGTATAGATGATTTATGTATTGAAGGAATGCATCATCTAACTAATTGTTTAGATACTTATTTGGATGAAAAATCTAATATATCTGAATATAAAGTCATTTATTTAAATATTTACGCTATAAGAACATTATCAAATGAGGATATTGTATATGCTATTAGTAAGTTTTATAATTAGGTAAGATTTAGTTATATAGCAATTGCAATGGAAGATATTAATTATTTGACTGACGATGGACTTTGTTACAGTAAAGTAAATTTATATAATTAATATAATTAATTCTAATTAATTTAATATTATTATTTTTTTATTTTTTATTAAATTTCTTTTTTATTTATTATAGATATTAATGTTAGCAGAAATTTATTTTTTTCTAACCATCCTGTCTTTTCTGTTATACTAGTGCATTAGTATGATTATTATTCTAGATGACATCCTAAAAAATATGAATGTTTTCATATAAAATTAATAAATCAGTATGACATAGTACCTTTTAATTCTATTGCGGGTATAATACATATGATAAAATAATTTGATTATGAAAATGAATTTTTTGTAAATAAATTTCAATTTTATTAATAATGAAAGTAAATAAATTTATATAGTAATATTAAATAAATAAATAATAATAAAACATATGATATATTATAATAAAGCTAGTATTTATAAGTAAATAAAAATTTAAAAAATAAAAAATAAGGATTCCTTAAAGATTTTATATTTAGGAATCCTTAAGAATTTATGATTTTATGGATTCCTTAAAGATATTTCAATATTGCTATAAGGATTTTTAAAGAATCCATAAAATTACAGATCCTTAAAGATTCTAGATCGATCTGAGAAATCCTTATGGATTTGCATTCTGAAAAACTTATTGTTGATTCTTTAATTTTTTTAATTCTACTGAAGTTAAAATATATTTTTTGAATAGTAAATAAAATTCATATTCATTATATAAAATAAAACTAAAAATTCTATAAGAAGTCCATATTTTTTTTTCATTATCTATAATATTTCTTTATATAATTCTTTAAATTTTAAATGATTAAATCGTTCATTTAAAATTATATTATTCCAAAGATTTGCATAAGG